TTTTATGGTGTTACGATCAATTCAATAACTATAATAAATTAAATCAACAAATTATAAGTCTCAATAATATTGTCGATTTACTCATAGTATAAATCTTGTCACTTTAGTCTCAACTCTGTCATCACCCATAGACATGAATATTAATATTTTGGGAGAATTACATTCAAATTTTTTGAGGTTTGTCATTTAATTACTCAGATTTATTCACATTTAAAATATTACATACAGGTTTGTCATTTAATTACTCAGGTTTGTCGTTAGACCCCTATCGTTAATGTTGGTTAGTATATTTGTTAGTAAATTATATATAGACCCCCTGAAATTTGTAAGAGTATAATACTTAGACCCCTCAAGTTTAAAATATTATACTTAGACTTAAAATACTCAAATCAAATATAGAATATCAAATATTTTAAATTTTACAATAAATAATCATGTTCTATTATGACATTTATTGAAATAAAATTAAAATAAAAATCTAATTTTTTTCTTAAAAAATCATAATTAGTATACAATTATATTATCTATTGAAATTTAATTTAGTCGTTTAAACGATCAAATTATCCCAACTAAATCTAGAATATATTGTGTCATTATAATTTGACCCTTGTTTGATTTTCTAGTTTTATTTCAATAGATAGTATAATTGTATACTAATTATAATTATTTAAGAAAAAATAATTTTTTATTTTTTTAATAGAAGACATAATAGAACATGAATTTTGGTTGTAAAATTCATGTTCTATTATGAATGATTTAGACCCTTTGTTTGATTTTTTTATTTTATTACAATAAATAATATAATTGTATATTAATTACGTTTTTTAAAGAAAAAATTGGCTTTTATTTTTAATTTTATTTTAATAAATAATACAATAGAACATTAATTTTGCTTTTAAAATATTTGATATTCTATATTTGATTGCAATATTTTTTTTCTAAGTATAAGATTTTAAACTTGAAGGCTGTAAGTATTATACACCTATAAACTTCAAAGAATCTAGAAGTAATTTACTAACGGATATATAATGAATATTTGATGGCAGGAGTTCTATGTGTTATGCGTGTACAAATCTCAGAGGATCTATGTGTAATATTTTAAATGTCAAAGAGTTTAAGTAATTAAGTAACAAATTTTAAGAAGTGTAGGTGTTATTCTCCCTAATATTTTTGATCTCATTTGTCTTTGTTATTATCTGAACTACACATACCAACTATCTATATCAATATCTATATATATTCTATACTATTTATAAATATGAGCATTTGCGAAAAATTTTGATTTCTTATTTTATCTCTAATTATTATTATAAAGTTAATTATACCCACATATATACTTTCATCTAATTTTTTTTTTTACTCTTTTTTGACTTTCAACTTATTTTGGATTCTTTTATAAAGATTTTTAAAATTTTTTGAACTTATTTATTAGTTATATAGTTACATACAATCTTTTACATCTATATGAATAAGTAAAGTCATGTACATGTTAAATTATTCTACACATGTGGTTATCAGATTGAATTTCACAGTTAAATATATATATATATTATATTTTATTTTAATATGTCATAATATAATAATTTTATAAATGATTTAATCAATTTATTTAACAAAATAAAAATTAATAATTTTATAATATAATTAGTTGTACAAATGCCTAAAATAAATGACAAATTAAGTACTCAAAGATTAATAAAATAAACTAATAATAATTAAAATATGGATTAATTATTCCAAATCTAATTTATTATTTAATTTAATTATACATATAATTCATATTTTTTATATAAATCATTATTTAAATTTATTTACGTACAACGCATGTCGTGTACTATTAGTATGTATATGTGTGTGTATATATATATAGTGTGATGATGTGAGTGTTCTTAAATGTTATTTAATTTTTTTTTTGAAAACAAAATTATTAGTGTTTGTATATTGTTTCTATTGAATTTTTTTGGTTTTATTTCTGATGAATGCCATTGATATATTTTTTATATTGATTTTTTTTTTTGATTAAGACTATTGATTTATTGATTTTTTTTTATGAAATTGTCAATCTAAAAATAATTTTATGTTTTTTTTATTAAATTTTGAATTACTGTCCAAACATATATTTATTTTGTCCAAACAGATTTTGCTAGTTTATGTTCTGTAAAATTATTTTTGGAATCATCTAACTAAATAAGTTCTTCATATTAAAAAAATATCAAAATACATTTTTTTAAAATTCATCTCAAAAACTGTTTTTGAATATTTTTTTTTTAAACTCAAACCAAACAGGCCCAAAAGTTTTCTTATTTTTGTTTTATTGGGCCCTCCTACATCTAAAACTAAACAAATGTTAGAAGCCACGCTTATCAAATAACCGAATTCAAATCGGAGCCATACAATAATTTTTGTCAAAAAGTCATAATAATGATTTCTGAAAAAGTAGATTGAAATATCTAACAATTTTTATTTTTGTCGTCCGTATAATAATTTGTCAAAAAGTCGTACATTTTGATCCGATCAAAAGAGCTCAATTGGAGTTGATTTTTGCCAACATTTTTACATTATTTTCTAATAAATTTCATGAACTAATTACTCAACTTCCTTATATATTTATGTTTACATAGAGTTCGTATATATCATATCACAATCATATTAAATATTAGTATATCCAAAATCAAAGTCTTGATATGAATTATGAAGTGTTCGGATGCACATTTAAATAATTTGTAATAAGATTCATACTATATTAATCAGATTTATATTCAAATTCGTTTTAAACTCCAAACCTGTAACACCCCGCATTTTCTTTTATATATGTATATAGATATATAGTAAATAATTGTGGTAAAAAAAAACAAAAAAATGTGGATATATTTAGTGATGTGTGTTTGAATTTGATAGATTAAAAAAGTAGAGATTTAAAATGTTAGTGAAAATAATAGTTGAAATTTGATTTTAATAAGTGAAAATATGAAATTTTAGGCCCTAGAACTTGTATTAAATAGGTTTGGTGTAGAAATATGTGTTGGAGAGGTTTGAGATGGATTTGGTTGGCTTAGAAATGAATTGAAAATGGAAAAAGGACGAAGACAGGCTGTGAACAGTGCACTGCTGCAACTTCAAGCTCGATTTTAGACCTTGATGCATTCAATATCTCTCAAAACTCAAAACATAAAAGTTTTAGAGCTCTTTCGTATCATTCCATAGCATCTTGAATTATCTCAATCGGAGCTTGGATGAGAGAGTTATGCTCAGATAACGAAACAATGTCAAAATAGTCTAATTAACTTCGTTTGACATTTAATGTCTCCATTTGCTTCCTAAATCAAAATATAAGAATAATGAGTACTTTTNATAATGTAGTGATTAGTGAGAGGTTCCATGTAAGGATGCTCATCTATTTATAAGAGGTTCCCGGTAAGGATGTTTGAGAATCAAATGTGACCTAAAGGGGGGTGGAGGTTATCACAAATTATGTCACCTACCGAAATAATTGTTGGGAATTGGTTATGACAATTAATGGTTATTATTTGTACGTGGTGTTCGTTTATTCATTTAAGTAATGTTTTTAAATAAACTTGAGATCCTTTTTNATCATTTATCACTTTTTATTTACAAACATCGCAAAACTTCATTAATAACCGATTCGGATGACTAAAATATAAACTTTAGTGTTTCGAGTGTATGTTGACTCGAGTTTTGAGATAAATCATAAAAATAAATGTTTTTAGGTTAAAATGACATTAAAAATGAATTCGGAACGTCGAGAAACCTTAGGGTAGTCATATGGATCAAATTAGAGATTCTTAGTGGCAAAATCGTAAATTTGGAGAAACCTAAAACAACTTGTGAACAGTGTTTTCCGGGATTGCTNGAATGGGTTTAGGAGAATTTTTCTACAGAGCTTCATGCTCACCCCCTATCGCTATCATTTTTCAGATTGTGCGCTTGAGGAGGAGAACGTAAGGGTCGAAGAGCCCGCTACTTATGAGACTCCACTGGACGGGAGTGTGGATCCCGAGGTGGACGCATAGAGCGACCTCCTNCTAAAACAACTTGTGAACAGTGTTTTCCGGGATTGCTATGTTTTAAACTTATTTTCATCTCATTTGCTCTCATTTTTTTCACTCCCCTCACACCCCCACACCTCTTGAAACCCTAGAGGGCATTAGAGAAGAAGAAAGGAAAGGAAAAACAAGAGATTCGAGGGTGATTCAAAATCAAATATTCTTATTCTTCACTCAAAAACTAAGGATTCAAGGTAAGAGTTTTCTCTCATTCACTTACATTAAGGTTAGGGTATTTATATATGTATGTTTTGGCTATCAATAGTATATATATGCTATGNAACCATAATTGACATGACTACTCAAAACTTTATATATGTTTTCTACTATTGATTTTTGGTCCACTGCATTATGTGGTTTTTTTGGCATAGTTTAAGCTAACTAGTGGATGTCTACTTTATGTTATGTGATATGATTATTAGTTGACTTTTCTTTCAACTAGGGTGGATTTATGTAAAAAAAATTCTTCCATCACCATTTAAATTTTCTNACGAAATCTCTTTTATAGTTTTAAAACCCTAATTTTTGGAGAGTGATGTATTTTCTTCCTAAATGCTTTCTTTATTATGGATTTCGAAACCTTAGTGCTTTGTGTTAGGTAGAAAAATNTTTGCGCAGGTTCACATGGAATTGACTATGGTATCAAAAAAATTGGTATTGTACCACCTATCATTTTTTTTTTAGTAATTATACTACATTTCGGGTGGAGTTTATTATTTTTTTGATGGTAGAACCTTTTTTTGAGCTTTTTTTTAAAAAAATTTTTGTTCATCGAATTTGTCCTTATTCCACACTTTTTACCTTATTTTATCACAAGACGTTTAAAAGGCAAATACTTCATGAATATAATGACAATAATGATAGCAATGACATCTATATATATTTTGGTTTATTGCAGAGAGAAGCTTCAAAACACTATAAAAATAAATGATCGACATGGCAATAGCAGCAGTGGAAACGAAATACTATGCTCAAAGTCTATCTTCCGAAAGGTTGAATTTCAAGTGTTTTTCAATTAACATATTTTCAATGATTTCAATACCTTCTTTGCCTCCCTCCCTGTCGATAGACAATATTTTGGCGTTGGAGTTCCAGGTTCTTTCTATGATCGATTATTTCCCTCGCTATCTCTCTATTTTGTGCACTCATCCTATGCACTACACGGACTCTCTAAGGTGCCAAAGAAGTTGCTAGATAAAAACTCCTCAGATGAAGTAATGAAAGCTTGTGCAGCTCAACTTGAAAAAGACATGGAGAATTTTCTGGATGCTAGAGCTAAAGAAATTGTTGTTGGCAGAATGATGATACTCATCATGCAAAGTCCCCTGGATAATATTGATCACTCTAAGACCCCAGCTGGTGTGACATTTAAATTTGTTGAAGGTGGCCTTATGGATATGGTGAAAGTGGTGAGTCAATGATCAACTATGCATCTTGGAGCCATAAAATTAAAAAATTGACTAGCTTGATAAAATAAGTCTGAAGACCTTATACTTAGCAAACTCATTAGAGATGGATATTGGTGAAACTGACGAGCCACCATCCATTGTCACTCTCATCAGCTCCATGTACCCAAAACATATCAATCAGGCTTATTTTTTCTATACCAATTTGTAACCCTTTACCAAAACTTCCACAACTAATCCACCTACCAAACAATCACTTTCCTAAACCGTATAAAAACACCCATTTAAATAGACAAATCATACATTTCTTGCAAGAATGTCTTGGTTCCAAATCATCCATCGTGAATAACTCGAATCAATTATAACTTCACATGTGAATAGTGTGTTTGATGTTAAAAATAATAACTTTTGAATGGTAAAATTTTTTTTTTTTAGTACCATAGTGCTATAATTCTATGATTATTTGTTGGATGAATTTGATGATTTGCATATCAATAATGTTGTGCATACAAAAAAATGCATCAAAAATCAAATCGAATGATTTGATTAGATTTTCTCCCCCCCTATATATATATATATTCAAAATTGTGCACTACAACACTCGTGTACATTAATTAGCTAGTTTAAATTTGACTAACAACTTCCACTAAACATTTAGGAGTGGTTCAGTGATTGGGCCTGATATTTTGTAATTCATAAGTTTTTGATTCAATTTCTTTCCACATTTCCTAAGGGTGTGTTTGGATGCTCGGAGTGGATTGGATAAGATTAAAATCCAAACTAATCCAAAAAAACTCACATTCGAATTGGATATGTATCAATGCCAATGTTTGATAAACCAATTTTACATCTCCATAGAACCCACTAACAAAAGGTGATTTAAAAACATTGAACTGATATGTTTTGATTATTACACCCTTTAGCCAATCTAATCATATCTTA